GCAGTCAAAAAGATAAAGTCATGCCATAAAGTCATGCCATTTGCAGCAACATAAATGGAGGAAGGATTATTCTCAGCAAAAAAAGCCAAAGGAAAAAGAAAATATCAGATGGTTTCAGCTATAGGAGGAACATAGGGGAACCAAATAAAAGATCAGGGAAAAAATAATAACAACAATAATAAAAATTATCAGGCCACTGTAAATCAGAAACATTCTGCAATGGAGGTGGAGACAGAGGGATCAAAACAGGGGAGGGAAGAGCACAAGGGACTATGGTTACAGTGCAGGGGTGAATTGGTGGTGGGAATTCTACAAGTACTACACCTGAGAAGAGAATACATACACTGCACAAAAACAAAGCAAACAATCCAGTCAAAAAAATCGGGCATAAGACCAAAAAAAAGATACTTCTCCAAAGAGGAAATTCAAATGGCCAACAGGTATGTGAAAAACTGTTCAACATCAATTATAATCAGGGAAATGCAAATCAAAAGCACATTGAGATACCACCATACACTAGTGAGAATGGCACATACTAAAAAAAAAAAACAAAAAAAAAAACTAGCAACAACAAATGTTGGCAAGGGTGTGGATGTGAACAATGATGCAATATATAGACTTTATATATATAGTCTAGAGTCTTTCAGTAAGAATGACTCAAGTATATTAAGACAAGTTCCTCAAAAGCCTGATTAGGCTTTGTACTAGACCTTTGCTTCTGACTTCAGTGGGACAGTTTCAGACCAGGGGTAGCACCCTAGTGCCATGGAAGCTCTTGCTCAGCTCAGAATCTCTGACCATATGAATACTTGTCCTAGCCCAGGCATGCTGGGGTGGCCTCTCATACTGCAAGAAGAACCAGATCAAGACTGCCCAGTTATGGTGGGACAATTAGTGCAAAACTAAGACCAGACATTCCTTCAACATCCAAGATTGTTACTGAAGTAGAGCCTCAACCAGCTATGTGATTCAGCAGCTGACTGTCTTGGCTCAGAGATCTCAAAAAATGAGATCCCTGCCCTATCTCAGAATGGCAGTGAGAACACAGAAATAAAGAAAGGTGTCTGTGCTGATACCTGACTAACACAGAAACTTCCACCCCAAACTATAAGGATTCTCAGAACTTAAGAACAATACAATTTAATGAATGAATAAATAATTAAAATACTATGAAATCATCATCTAAATAAGTAATACATGCCAAACTGGTTAGGTACAGTCATTTTGTTATGGGGTAGATTTACTCTTCGCCTCTTCCTGAGTATATATGATATTGTGATGCCATCCCTGCTAATTGGGCTCATCCGGGCTCCCTGCCATTCTCATGTGCACAAGCTCTCAGAGGCATTGCCGAAGCCTCTTTCTTCGAACAATTGTTCAGAATTGCTCTTATAACCACAGCTCAGAATCTGTGCAGTTGGCTTCTCCATGTAGTGGATTTTTCCATTCAAGTTTCAAAATTGAACATGACTCAAGAGTACAGTTCCTGCCAAAGTTCATAAATGCCATTTTCTCTTTGCAACAAAACTATTTTGAGAAAGCTTTTCTTTGGATTTTCATCAAACAGCTGTTGCTGATGTCTACAACACAAAGTACATAGACTAACTACAAACACTCTAAAGAAAGCAAGCAAAGTACTGAGCCGAAGAATTTTCCTTTCAATAAATCGAGTAAGCTGCTTTAAACACATTCACAATAGTTGTAGTTAAAAGTGTTACAAATTCATATTTTGGTGTTTTTTATAAGAGATATATTCTCCTACAGTGGAAGGGTATATTCAAGTAAAGATAGCTTCCACATAACAATATAAAAATGTAACTGACTAGTAATCAAAAGAGAGTAATATCTTGATCAAACAGTTTAGCATAAGGTGGTCCTTGAAGGGCCTCCCTTCATCGGCTAAAGTAAAGCTAGTGTTCTCAGCTGTTTTTAAGCAAGAAGCATTTTCTATGTCAGATAACTAAATAAAAAGGAAACAAGAAATAACAATAAAGAGAACTGCCCAAGAGAGGTATGTGGAGAAAGTTTTTCCTTACATTGAAGATCTGAGAAAATTAAGAATGAGAAGAAATTGAGGATAATCTATGGAAAGTTATTGAGACTTGTGACTAACTTGCACACCTTTGTGTATTCTTCAAAAGACTGAAGATTCCCTTTATATTATTTTATTTTAGGGCAGAATTTTTATTTTAAATAAATATATATGTATATATGTATTTAATTGAGGTGATATTGATTGACTGAGGTGATATTGAGGTGATATTGCAGTATTTTGGAAATAAAGAACCCCCCAACACATTACTCCCTTAGTACATCCATCACCAAATCACCCATAGTCCCACATAGTTCTGTCTTCCTTTGTTCTCATACCTCCCTGTTCTCACCCGTCCTTTCTCTCCCCCCTCCTTATTTACACCTTGCTTCTTGGAGTAGATGATG